AAAAAAAAAAAAAAAAAAAAACAAAAGATCGATAAAAGACAAGGATTTTGTTTGTGATAAAATCATTGAAGTAAAGACTGGATTTTTATTATGGGGATTTTGTTTGTGATAAAATCAATGAACAGGTGGAGATTTTGAGCTGCATACGGCACCCAAACATGGTCCTTCTTCTGGGAGCCTGCCCCGAGTACGGCTGCCTCGTTTACGAGTACATGTCCAACGGCAGCTTGGAGGATCGTCTGTTCATGCGCGCCAATACCCCTCCTTTATCCTGGCAGCACCGTTTCCGAATTGCGGCCGAAATCGGTACGGGCCTCCTCTTCCTTCACCAGGCCAAACCGGAGCCCCTCGTCCACAGGGACCTAAAGCCCGCCAACATCCTCCTCGACCGCAACTATGTCAGCAAGATCAGCGACGTCGGCCTGGCCCGCCTCGTCCCCCCTTCCGTGGCCGACAACGTCACCCAGTACCGCATGACATCGACAGCTGGCACCTTCTGCTACATCGACCCTGAGTACCAGCAGACAGGCATGCTTGGGGTGAAGTCCGACATCTACTCCCTTGGCATCATCTTCCTCCAGATTCTCACGGGCAAGTCCCCCATGGGTCTCACCCACCACATCGACCGGGCCATCAAACGTGGGGCCTTCAGGGAGATGCTTGATCCGCATGTGCCTGACTGGCCACTCGAAGAGGCCCTTCTGCTTGCCAGGCTGGCTCTACAGTGCGCAGAGCTGAGGAGGAAAGACCGGCCTGACCTCGGGAAAGTAGTGCTCCCACAACTGAACAAGCTGAGGGAACTTGCAGAGGATTCCATGTCGAACGTGGTGCCATACATGGGAAACCCATCCCCCAGACACAGTCAGGTCTCCTTGTCCAAAGTAAGTCGGCTATTGCTTGTCAGCCCCTACTTAAAACATATGTAATCACGTTATGTAATCAGATAATTACCGGAAAATATGTTTGCAGGATGATTTGAGTTTTCCAACATCACCATCCACACAGTCAAGCATGGGGACCTGATGTGCAGGTAGATAGGATCGATGACTTGAAAATAGTTGTGGCCTTACACAAAAAGAAGAAATCAATTTATTTATTTTTGGTTGTTTAACTGTTAAAAGAAAGCAAACTAATTGTCCTTTTAATTTAGATTTATGTCCTTTGATCTAAACATCTTTAGGCTTTGAAAAATGGTGGTGCATGTTTTGCGAGGGATTTTGTATCTTCCGCCCCTATAGACTGAAATTTGATCCTATGAACGAGGTCTTTTTTTTTTATTTTTTATTTTTTATTTTTTCATAAACGATAGATTTCATTAATAAAAATACATATTTACAAGCAGCTAACTACACAATTGCAGCTAAATTAAGAAAGAGGCCTATGAGAATGCCTGCAACCTAGAAATTATAGCACTAAATACACGCTCCACAAACAAGTGGTATGGTTAACTGTAGTTAAGAAATTGTTTATGAAATAATTTGTTCAAAATGAATTATTTTAGTTAACTGTAGTTAATTTTGAATAATGTGGTATGATTAGTTGTTGTGGAAGTTTAAGAATGTAGTAAAATAATATTTAAAATAAAATGATTAAAATTGATTTGATGTAAAAGTAAGACATAAATGATTGGAAATGATAGGTAGTTAAAATTATGTGAGTGAATGAATAGTGAATTAAAGTTGATGTGATGTACAATAATGATTGATTTATATTATTTAATTATATGAATAATATTAAAGGTAATGGAGTTGAAATAAAAGTGAGTAAATTATTTGGTATACAATCAAGCCCTAAGCTTTCACAAGTGGGAGAATTTTAACTCCAAAAAGGAGAATAAAGAAACTACTAATACAAGCACAATTACGTAGAAAATAAAGAAATCATAAATAAATTCAGCTTTCAAACTCAAATATCAACTTGGCCTAAAAAAA